TTGGCATATGGGTCATGCCTTGGCTTCTCTCTTTTGTCGCAAACGCTAGAGGGACTCATACCGTCGAGCTCACCGTTACGATCGAAATCACAAGACTGGACGACCTGGCTCAATGTCTGGGCAATAGCTATTGCTTCTGATATTCGCGTTGGTGCAATCTCCATGCTAACGGCCATGACAGCACCACTGGCTATGGCCTTTCTGCTCTATCACACCTACCTCATCTGGGCTGGCATGACCACAAATGAAAGCGCAAAATGGTCAGACTGGAAAGAGGATGTTGCAGATGGCTTGGTGTTTAAGTCTACCAGAAGTGAGATTTATGGGACCCCATTCCACTCCGATGAGGACACTCCGTCTCAAAGAGCCTGGCCAGTGAGCAGTGACCAGATCCTAGTAATCACGGACGGTGAGCCCCCCAAGAAGGGCTTTCAGCTCTGCTCAGGCTCAAATGAGATTTTTCATAAGGGCGATTCACAGGCGCCAGTTGACACAAGATGGGCTGAAGTGAACAGTATGCGGGAGATTGACAATATCTATGACTTGGGATTTTGGGACAATCTACGGGAGGTTTTCAATATGCCTGTCAGACGCCGTGTATAATTTCCCTTCCGTCATCACCCTCAATCTCGTACATATTCATAATATGATTGTTATAACGCTACCAGTCCATTCGTGTATAGAAATACGCTCTCATGTGGGCTTACCAAAAAGGGTAGGCGGGACACATGTTCGGCGGAACCGGAAAAATTGCCTCTGTCACTATTTCTTCTCCCCCATTATCGTCGCAATCAACACTTCTCCTACATCGATTTGGTATATTTTCTAGCAATAATCTCACGTCGGTGCCGTCTCGCGTGATAATTGCGGATAACCGTCAAGATGGCAGACCGACCAGCGTCAGAAACTAAACCAAAATGCACCCCAGCTGAGCTCATGTTGAAGGTCATCCTGACGGGAACTCTGAGCCACTATGAGACTCGTGGGATGATTGACGATAAGCGCTTGGAGCACATGCTTTCTGCTGGGAAACAGATACTTTACAAAACACACCAGGAGAGCGACGTTAGGTATGATTTTTTGGTAACTTTGAACTGCGAAACATCTGTCTGACTGCTTCACTTACAACAGACACAATTTGGGCCTATCGCCGGACATTTGGCAAGGCTTCACGGATGTACTGACGAAGGCAATCCCGGTTCTGGAATCACAATCATTTGCTTGGAAGAGCCCCCCGTCCGCGAACTATGAACACTCCTCCTCAAACCTCATTGCATACAACTACTTCTCCCTCGTCAAAGACATCGAGCGCTTGAACGACCTGTGCACTATAGCTCGTAACCTTCTCGCCACAACGAAGAAAGCGCAGAATATTGCGGCGGAGAAGGGCTTTGATCAAAGGATTTTGGCACTGGTGGATACTTGTGTGAGAGTCACCGCGCGGGGGTTTGACGGAGAGACAAATGCGAGAAACGAGGAGCGCTGGCAGAAAGTGGTCAATCTATATAAGCGATTATTGATCACATGTCTTCAATTCCTGCACAATTTTATCATGCATAATGAGCAGCGGAAGATGGTCTTGTGGTTAGATCTGTTCGGCTACCATTCGACTGGCGACTCCAATATCATTCAACCTAGAGAGCCGCTTGATCAGACTAACGCTCAGGCTGAGGGGGTGGCACCGATCGTCAAGATTGGGGAGAGAATTGTCAACCCCCCGATCAGGGCACTTTACGATCAGACCGCGGAAGATTTGTTACTGGAAACCATCTCGAATTTCCCGCGGGAGCCCGCGACAATCAAAGAAGAAGCTGCCATGCTACTCCTTGCAAACATCAAAGACCACATGGAGAAACTTCTGGGGCGAGATCTTACGGCCATCCAAGAAATGGGCAAGGATCCGGAGCAGGTGAAGGAGATACGAGCCGCGCTGACTGCTATTCTTGGAGCCAAGGTGGATGGCTGGTCAGATCTCCAAGATAGAGCCAGAGATCTTCCACCTGCTCTCCCCGAAGACGAGCCGCCGAGGAAAAAGGCCATCCTGACGATAGACCGCAGCCAAACCGCCGGTTTTCCTCGCATTTGCTGGGCTGACTTACCCGACCTCAACGAATACGGCGCACTGGCCGCAGGCGATGCACCAATAACGGAGGAAGACACAAGCATGCCCCGATCTGCTCAATCTGCGGCCGAGACCTTGCAAGAAGCCAAGGATGAGTTGATGGCTCGACTGCAGGAATCATCACAGATTGCTGATCATGGCGACCAAGATTATGATGCTGGCGATGCAGGAACAGTTGGCGACGACGATTCGCACAGCTTGGAAGCCGTTGCTGACGGAAGCATGGAAGAGGAAGAGGAAGAAGACGATGAGGATGACGAAGACTACCGAGGTCGACCTGGTGATCAGCAGCGTGGCCTGCTGACTGACATCCCTCTCGTTCTAGGTCCCGCGGAAATTGAAGCACTTCCCATGATCATTCAGGCCGGTATTGTGGACAGCTTCGGACTCAAGGGTGGCGAGCGCACAGGATCGAGGAACATGCAAGCTCTCAGATGCCACATCCTTCTCACCCAGGAAACTGGTCGAAATCTCTTGCGGGAGCTATTAATTTTCATCGCCGCCTGGGACCTTCCTGATGATGAGCTATATTTCAAGATGATGGTACAGATTATGGACGCAGTTCTGAAGAATGGGCTGATGTCTCACGCCTACTCTGACTTCGGGCAACCAAAGGACATCATATCTCCCGCCCAGGCAGTCGTGGTCAAGATCTTGACGCACATTTTCAGGGCAAAGTACTCTCCCGCCTCGGTTACAGGCGCAACCCAGCAGAGCGCTACGAAGAACCCGGCGCCTCTTTCTAGGGTTGATATCCTCACGGTTCGCTACATATTTACTATTTTCCGTGGCAACATAATCCCCGAAACCTGCGCCTTAATCTACCTTCAAGGGCAGATCCGGGCCGGACGCGCCCTGCCAGAAGATTTCCCGCTGAATCTGTGGGATATGGAACGAGTCTACGAGGGTGTCTACCAATTTTTGGAGTTCTTTGCTGTACTCACAGAGAATAACGACTGGAAGAACCTGCTTGTCAAGTGGGAGATTGTTTATGATCTGGTGACGCTAATCAAGGAACTCGAAGCCAGCATCCCCAAGGGCCAACTGAGTTCGCTATCTCTTGGCCGCAACAGCCCTTCCAAAGAAGCACATCAACAAGGCGCAGCAGCAGGGCCTGTGGCTGTTGAGAGACCATATGACCCTGGTGACCCTGACCCGGCGGAAAACGGCGCTGGCAGCCCCGGGTCCAGGGCCGAATCGCCCCCTATCACCGAGGATCCTTCTGAATTTGAGTGGAGGAATCTCAAGAAACTCGTCGTGCTCGTTCTGTCGTCTCTGGTTTGGAAGTGTCCCGAGGTCCAGGATCAGATTCGCCGATACGGCGGTGTCGAGACTATCTTGTCTTGCACCAACTTTGATGCTCACAACCCGTACATCAAGGAACACGCTGTTATGTGTCTCAAGTTCCTGCTAGAAGGGAATCGGGAGAACCAAAAGCTGGTCGAAGCGCTCGAAGCTCGGGATGTGGTCAGGGATGAGAATGGGCTGTTGGAGAGAAGTGGCTTTGAGGCCGTCATCGATAAGACCGGCAAGCTGGCCATTCGGCCCAAGGAGGGCCAGCCTTCAGAGAAAACGTAGGGCGAGATAAATACATTGTAAAAAGTGATAGACAGTATACTAGAGGAGATACTTCCCCACGCAGGTAATGACATGGCACATGAATACAATAATGAAACAGGACGAATCTGCAACTAGCCATACATACCATCCCATTCCTCCTCCTCATCCTCAACAGGTTTCTTCCTACGCGCCTCTGCCTTCTCACGCTCTTGTTTGGCAAAATCCGTCCGATCAAGCGGACACGTTCCCCGCAACCGCAACCAGGGCCGGATACACTCCAAATCAAACAAATGCGTAGAATGACACGGCAGCCGCACAACGAGCGGATACTCATCCTCCAAGAACGGGTTATTGCAAATCGGACACGTCTGGGTCTCCTTCAACGACGTACGCGGAACCCGGTCGAGCACTATTCAAAAACCTCGTCAGTCCGCGCTCCGAATCCACCCTCATGAAACCTCTCAGAACCTACCATCGCAAAACTCCTCGCTCACACCCTCCACCTCCTTAGGTGGCGCATCCGCCTCCCGCAACAACGTCTGAATCATCTGCGACAGGAGATCGTCGCCGTCGCCATCGCCGCCTTCGCGAGCGCTTGCAGCCCCGCCATCCGACTCCCGGCGCATAACCTCAAAAGCCTCAGCGAGAGTATAGAACGCGGCGCTTACGTCGCGCGGGACGGGGACGGCGTGCGGTCTGGAGCGGTGCTCATCGGGGCTGATTTGGGAGAGGGTCGAGAAGAAGGATGAGAGGTCGGGGCGGCGGCGGCGGGTGGGCTGTTGGGGGATGGAGGGGTCGGCTGTGTTGTGTTCGACTGTGGGGGGTGTTTTAGTATGTTTACGGTGTGGATTGGCGCCGGGGGGGTTGTACCTTCGTAGGTGGACATTTTTGGGTGATTTCACTCACTCGTGGGGAGTGAGGGGTGAGATAGGTGACCCGATTGACTCGATTGTGTGGGGTGGTTATGTGGTCTCTTCCTGTGTCAATTATTTTCTGTTTATGGGGTCGACAGATTGCTGGGAGTTAATTTTGTTTTCTTGATTGTGGACAGTGAGAGGAAGATGAGGAAGCTTGCGAAGTTTGGAGGGGGAGCTCTTGTTATCTATCTTGGCCGATGCGGAGGCAACAAATCGATACGCGTCTGGCGTGCTAGTTTGTGCCTCAGGCTCTATATTCCTATGAAATAGGATTCCCACCTTGACAAACTATGTGACACCATTCTGTGTGATCTATTTGACAAGTATATACGAAATGCATTGTTAATATGAGAGTCTCAAGTCCTATATCACCAGACTAATGTTGACCAACCACATAAGACCTAGTAAGTGAAATCCTCATAGATAACTCGTTTCCCAGCGAGCCAAGTCATGACAGAGCCCTTGAGTGTTGGACTCCCACAGAAATACCAGGCATCCCCCAAGGACGTATCCAAGTCTCGGGCCTCCATCCTACGATGCTCGATTCTCGCCCCGGATGATATAATGGCTCCAAGTTGCTGAGACCCCTGATCATCTTCTGGCTTAGATCCTGTGAGGAATAGAGTGGTTGAGCCTGGCAGTTGGGGGAAGCGCTGGAATGTGTCGAAGACAAGGCCCACATCGGTCATAGAAATGGACCACAGGAGGTGTAGGCGCGAAACCTCGATGCCTGGCAGCTGTGCAATAATGGGCGTGATACCAATTCCGCCCGCTATAACTGGGATTGTGCAGTCACCTCCTTGATCGTCTAGCCTAAACTCGCCACCGAAGCCTTTGAGAGGTACCTCTAAACCGGCGCGCTCATTAGTCCTGAAGAGGTGGCTGGTTACGTTGCCATGCTTGCGAACTGTGATTTCAAATTCATCCGCTGGCAGTCCATGCCCTGGATACGATGAAATAGTGAATGTCCTGACATAATCATCATTCAGACTCAAAGGATCGTCATCGAGCATATGGGAATAGCCCAGGTCCAACTCCTCCTGAAACGAGAAGGTGGCATACTGGCCGGGAGCCCAGGTCCCGATTTTGGATGGATCTGAGATTCGAAATCGAAACAGACCGATGGTCGGAGTAAGAATCTTCTTTGCGATCATGGTAGCAGTAACGGAAACATCGTCATTAAACTGAGCGACCCGATTGACCCTTTCGGTTGCCAGGTAACGTACGCTTGGGTTGTATGGAGAGGGCTCGCCTGCAATTCCTCTGAAGGCGAGTGATTTTTCGACGAACCGAGCCGAGGTGACGGTCACTTTGACAGCTAGATTTGATCGTGGAAGCAGAGCAGCCGCGTCTTTGCCAATCAAGACCTGGGTTCTTCCTGTGACATAGAGCGCGTCTCCTGTGTCAAAGTCTGGGAAAACGTACCCTGCCAGAGGAGTTGTCTGGAAGTTTCCCAGCGTCTGGTACAATCTATTGCCAGAATATTCAGGGTATACGAAAACAGAACCGTTAGGTCCGTTGCTCATGAGTCGTACAAAGCCTGGAGGCCCACCGCGGATATTGGTGTCCATGTCCTCAGTACCATGAGTCGAGGCGACAAACAGGCAGTCCGCTCGGCCGAGTAGTTCAACTGCAGCTGGTGGTAGCTGGGGGTCGTCAGTAATCAGTTTCGGGTCAGGCAAAGCTGGAATTATCTTCTTCTTATTCAGGTATTTGGGACAATTGCCTGTCCGTATTTAGCAAAGACTTGCCATAGAACCATATATACGATCCAGACCCTACCGAGACATCCCTGGATGAACACAGACAGCTGCGCCATCCCACTATCAGCTTCCAGTGATCCAGCAATCTTCCTTCCGTAAAGTTTCGTCCTTTTACGATTCTCCAGATCGATCGCCAACCCGGAGACAGGCTGGCCCGCGGTCTCTGCGGAAACACTGCCCTCATTCGTGGAGCCGCTTAGTAGCAACTCTGCGACAGGATCATATCGACTATCCACTGGAGTTTTAATTTCGACAGTAGACTGCGAAGCAGGAGCGGCAAAGCCAGGCTCTCCTCCCCACACAGTTGCCCATGGTCGGCCTTCCTGATCTATAGTGCTCAAGGCCATTAAAGGAGACCTCTGTACCTGGAATGCGGCTCCAGGATAGAGATAAGGGACATTTGGATTGGGTTTAACCGGAACTCGGAGCAAAGTGTGCATCTTCCTCTCGCCATCATGCCACGGAAGTGTCCCAGCAAGGATGGCAGCCATATTTGGTGCAATGGGTAGCAATCAGGATCTCAGGCGATGTGCAATCGAGGCATCCTGCAAGAGACGGTAGATAGAGCGCTGGCATATTATACCTCAAGTACAAAGCCGACTAGTGTCAGTCAAAGAAGATATTACACTATGCCGGTTGATTTCTAATCTGTGTAGGTCGCCTGGCTATAGGCGTTGTTAGTCACCAGGCGGGGTAAGGTTTTCGGGGCAAATTGCTGCAGCGAATTATGACTTTCTAGCAAACTTAACAAAACGGAGAAGAATGTGTGTGAGAGAGGAAAGACTGAAGTCGAGATCCTCGATACTATCCACAAAACACGATTGATGCTCCGTGGGGATTGCTTGATAAATATGCCGCGTCCTCGTGGAGCGTCCAAGCAGATCATTTAGCTTGAAACAGACCACAAGAAGCGGAGGAAACCTAAGGTAACGATCAACGCTCTCGTCGCTCTGGTTCATCAAATCCAGAGAGGGAGAGAATCATTCAAATCTGGCTTTCTCAGAATGACTGCCAAGTGAGAACCAGCTCCCAGATGGCATTTGTAGGACAAGAATGTTCAGTCCAATCTAGACTTGAGTCCTGACGACGATTGTTTATCGATAACGTTTAGTTTAGCGTGTTTTCTTTCTTTAGCAACACCCGCAGTGGATCATCGCCAAGGGAGGCATTGCATTGCATCGAGCTTGGGGGTGACGCAGCTTTCTTGTTCAGCTGGAATTCTACTTAAAGACTATATTCACCTCTCTGGCTGGTCCAGCAAATTTTACAAAACCTGCGTTGTGGTCAGCCGACGTCTGTCGGCAATCGATATTTGTTTATCTCGGATAGCCTCGAATCAACGGTGGACAATACTTGGTTTACGTACTTCTCCACAGGCCTCCTCTACAGAGACCATCTCATACTCGACAATTGATGCTGAAGCGAGTGTGAGCTCCGTCAGAGATCCCACCGCTTCCATCCACAACCATAGAGATGCGTTCAAAATCTGTAAAGCCGTCTCTCTACCCTCCTGTACCTTTTCATACCATCCGCGCAATTTCCCTACTCTCCTCAGTAATCGTCGGCGTCATCCTCGCCGTGTTTATCTATCATCTCAAAAGCGGCGGATATAAGCTTCCTTGGGCCTTCTTACTGGTAAGTACTTTTCCGTGTGCCTTGCAGACCATGTCAAAGCCAACCTCACCGTCATCTAGCTCCTCGTCTCCGCATTCCTCTCTATCCTCAATTACATCTTCACCAGCCTCACCCACTGCTGCTATGGCCTCTCCCCGCGCCTCTCCCTCCTCTCGAACACCATCCTCCTCATCCTCTGGCTCATCTCCATTGGCCTTCTGAGCTGGAGCATGTCCCACACCATCCTCACCACCTGCAATGCAACCTATTGGGCCACCTCAACCGGCATCACCGTCTGCCGCACCTACAAGGCTCTCTTCACCTTCACCTGCACAAGCACATTTGCCGCCATTGCCGCGGTCGCACTCGACATCATCATCCACAAGCGCCAGACCCGACTAGGCACATACGACCCCATGACCAGCAACCCAGACATCAAGCTGCACGAGCGCAACAATAGCGCCATGACGGGCACCAACGTCGGCGACCCACTCGAGGACGAGCGGCACCCGCTCCAGCATCAGCATCAGTTCCCTGAGAGCCCCTACGCAGATCGGCACGGAATCTCCGATATCCCGGGTCCTGATTATGCGAATCACCCGGCATACCGGGAGCCGCCCCCCGTGTACGGGCTGAATGCATCAGCGGAGCATTACCATGCGGGCGAGGCGCAAGAGTTTTCGGAGACTGCGCCGGCGAGAAGTCAGCGGGGTGGGCCGCGGGTTCGGTTCAGTGGTGTTGGACGTCCAGGGTATGGCCATCCTGCGGAGCAGACGTCTTACGACCCCGGGGCTTATCGGTGAATTTGTTATCCGGACGAGCAGTATCTGGCTGCCGGGTTTATGATTTCTACCATTCTTTGATGTGTTATGACTTGGATATATACATGGTTCATTCTGCGATGGGACAAATATCATTGAGCAGCGAGATTTCATTCAAGGCAAGACGAAACATCGCTTACTTGAGCGTTTTGTCAATTCATGATCTGTCCGATATTGAAATTTATACCAAAATTATCATCCTCGTTTTGCCAAGCCGGTCAGCCTTTGTCTAAGGTCCAGGAGAATGGCTTAGAGAAGCAGAAAGTATTGATAGAGGCGTCGAACAAATTAGTGCTTAACGAGAAATATGTATAATCCATCGAATAGATCCAAAATAGCCCATCTTGAATATCTCACTACATAATAACCTCGTTGGCGACATCCTGTTTAACCATGTTAGTGTTATTGATTAATGCAGGAGACTCAATTAACATACCCGCTTGAGTTCCTTGTACGGCAGACACACACAGTTCTGTACCCGCACCTCGTCCCCGACAGCGCACTCCTTACCCAAGATGGTGATGCTCTGCACCTTGATGCCATGCTTGATGATGCTGGTGGAGTGGCTTGCCATGGGGATTGGAGTTCCCTCGACACGAGCCCAAGCGCCCACCCGGCTGCTCCAGCCGATAATCGAGTGCATCACGCACGCATCGTGCTTGATCTCTGCATCCTCCAGTACGATCGAGTCCTTGATACGAGCTCCAGCACCGACGACAGCACGGGCACCAATGGAGACGTTGGGGCCCAGCTTGGCGGTCGGGTCAACGGTTGCGGTGGGGTGGATGTAGACGGGGGGTACGATCGTGGCGGAGGGAGGGGTGAGTTCGTCGGATTGCGCCTGGAAGGCCTTTTGCAGGTACAGCGCGTTGGCGGGGACGGCCGAGCCAGCGGTCTTAATCTGTCGCCAGAAATCCTTGGTCTCGTGGACGAAGAACCGGTTGCTGTCCGCCAAATCGGAGAGGATGTCCTGCTCCAGACGGAGGACCTCGGTCTTCTCCGCCTCCTCGTCGGCGGCAACGAAGGAGGACTCCAGGTTTTCCGAGGAAGGGTATGAGAGGAGGCGAGGGCGAGTAGTACGGCGCTTGATGGCACTGCGGATGGCGGGGAAGATGCACTCGGTAGCGAAGAGGTAGACACCGCAATTAATGAGGTTGGAGATGTGCGATTCCGGCTTTTCGACGTAGTGCAGCACGCGCTTGGTGTGAGCATCGGAGACAATACATCCAAAGTTGGTGGCGGCCTCGTTGCTGACCCGGGTTCCCAGAATCACCGCCTCTGCGTCCTTCTCCTCGAACAGCTTCAGCATCTCACCAAGAGGGAAGGAGCAGCAGACGTCAGCGTTCAGGACGAAAATGCGCTCGGGCTTGCCCTTGAGGATGGCATCACGGAAATGATAGAGACCTCCTGCTGTGCCAAGCGCCGTGTATTCACGCAAGTATTGAATTCGGAACTGGGGGAACTCCTTGCTGGAGTCTTTGATGAAATCACGGAAGACCGATTCATCGTAGTAGCCGACCAGGATGACTTCTCGGATATCGGGAATTTTGGCAAGAGCCTTGAGGCAGTGGTTGATAATAGGGTGACCGGCAACTTCGAAAAGGGGCTGATCGAATGCAATGGCCCTTGAGTTAGCTACGCTCTGAGTGAGGGGAAGAGCAAAAAGGAGGGGTAACCCACCTTGGGAACATCAAGAGACAGAGGTCTGAATCGAGTACCTCTGGAAGGACCTCCGACCTGATCGTGAGCATTGTTAGCCGCACACTAATCATTTGCGACATCCAGGTGCTGTTCTCCCTGCTTCACCTACCAAGATCACAGCCTTGGTGGAGGCCACGGTTGAATGTTCCCGCACCGGAACTTGAAGCATTGAGAATAGCTGCAATGATGGATTGGAGGAGTTATTATATGAATTGGACTGTGGTGATCAGAGGCCGAGGGAGGACTGGTAATAATGACACTCAGTAGGATGGATAAGTAGTTAATAAAGTAGTAATAGGAGAAAAGAGAATAATAATATTATGCGTATTATGCTTGGACTTTGGTGATGTTCCCAGATGACCACGCACTCTGTTCCAGGCCCACCACAGGTACCACCTCGTTTGGTACCTTAGGCACTAACTTTAGGCTGACTAGAACAAGTCGGGAGTAGCGAGGATCCGCATTTGGTGAACCACGGGTCACGGGGAGCTTCGACCCTGACAGCCATTTGACCGCTTTCGTCCATCTGAGATTCGAGTGTCTTTCACAGTCAGGAATCAACACCTTTGCCCCTGAAAACATGGATGTCTCTTTGAAAAACCTCCAAGTAATATTCCGTACGCTAATGTGGATAAGCTAATGTGAAAGGATATCTAGTATTTACCAATCAAATACGTGCTTCAAGTGATTGCCTTGCAAAGCTCACAAGCATCCTTCCTAGCCTCTATAAACTGCTTCAGTGACTGACGAACACAGTAAAATTTATATCAACTTTGCTCTATCACCTTAGCTTAATCTGCCGTAACTTGACATGTGAGGTGTGTGCAATTGGACATGGTTGTTGGTCCATCCGCCTTGGCAACAGAAAGTTGTATATGCCGCACCAAATTTGGCAGGACAGTATACACTCCTTTGGGCAATGAGATTCCTAAGCCCACGACAACAACCAACTTTTTGTATGGACATCATGGCTGTCAAGTCTTTCGATTACTTTGCTTCTTGCTTCACTATAAATCAAGACATCTGTGCTGGATCTATAGTACTAAACTTTCATTTTCCATTCAATTCATACTTCACTTTCTATTCACATAATACTGGCCCTAATAACTGCCATCTCAAGTGTTACTCCCTCCAGCCATCTTAATACTCTTTCGTGTTCCGCAGACTGCGTGTGCATCTGTCTATCAAAGTGAACACAATACTGCCTATCTTTTTCTTTCTCACCTACCTCCACACCCTCCCTCATGCGCTGCAACATCATTCAACAACAGCATTTCTCTTCTTCAGTTGCTGATATCGTCATGTCAGAACCAAGCACAGGAACAGGTGAGCAACGGAGCTTAAGCACATCTTTC